GCATGCACACACTCACACCCACACACACACACCTTCACGCACTCACATTTACACGCGCGCACTGACAAAGCCAGTGCACGCTTGGCGTGTTCACTGCATCGCACACACACCCACGACGTATGCGCCACATACCCGGCACCCACTGAGACACGCGTCCAGATACATCCGCACGCGCATCATACACATACGCATGACACGCCATATCCAAGACATACGTGTAGGTTTCGCAGTGAAAAGCAGGCGTTGCGTATCCTCGACACCAAAGGGGGTGCGCAAGGGGTGGTCCCTGAGCGCGACCGCTATCCGTCACGGTCGTCCAGGGCATAGCAGGCGTGGCATATGCTCGACACCGTAGCGGGTGCGCAGGGGGTGGTCTCTCACCGCGGACTCTATACGCCCCGGTCGTCCAGGCACAGCAAACGGAACACTTTCTCGACACCAGAAAGGGTGCACAGGGGGTGGTCTCTCACCGCGGCCTCTATACGCCCCAGTCGTCCAGGCACAGCATGCGTGGCACTTTCTCGACACCATACGGGGTGCGCGTGGGATGGTCTTTCACCGCGGTCCATTTGCGCCCCAGTCGTCCAGGCACAGCAGGCGTTTCAACTTCTCGACACCATAAGGGGTGTGTAGGGGGTAGTCTCTCACCGCGGTCGCTATACGCCCCAGTCGCCCAGGCACAGCAGGCGTGGATTTTTCTCGACACCATAAGGGGATGCGCAGGGGGTGGTCCCTCACCGCGGTCTCTATACGCTCCAGTCGTCCAGGCACAGCAGGCATGGCACTTTCTCGACACCATAAGGGGCGCGCAGTGGGTGGTTTCTCACCGCGGTCTCTATACGCCCCAGTCGCCCAGGCACAGCAGGCGTTGCAATTTCTCGACACCATAAGGGGTGCGTAGGGGGTGGTCTCTCACCGCGGTCTCTATACGCCCCAGTCGTCCAGGCACAGCAGGCGTGGCATTTTCTCGACACCATAAGGGGATGCGCAGGGGGTGGTCCCTCACCGCGGTCTCTATACGCCCCAGTCGTCCAAGCACAGCAGGCGTGGCATTTTCTCGACACCATCAGGGGTGCGCAAGGGCTGGTTTGTCACCGCGGTCTCTACACGCCCCGGTCGTCCAGGCACAGCATGCGTGGCACTTTCCTCGACACCATAGGGGTGCGCAGGGAGTGTTTTTCACCGCAGAGTCTATACGCCCGTGGCGCCCATGCACAGCATGCGTGGCATTTTTTTTTGCACCATAGGGGATGCGCAGTGGGTGGTCCCTCACCGCGGTCTCTACACGCCCCAGTCGACGCGCTTCTAGACTCGTGTGCCGTCCGCTTGCCTACCTGCAGCCCCATTTTCTTCCGCGGTCGCCATGGTTCAGGCTGTTGTTCGCGCGGCGTGTCACTCCCAAGGCTTGACTGGCGTCACCAACGGTATCGGCGGGGCAACGGCCACCAGCATCATTCTCGCATTTTTCGTTCCAGCTATCATCATTCCAGGCATCAGATCAGTATGTGGGGTTCCTCGGTGGCATAATGTGCTTCACCGGCGTGTTGGTATAGAATATTCAAGCATTTTATAGTCCCGACAATAAAACCGAAAACGCGAAAACAACGATTCGTATGGTTACGTGGTTCGCCAGGTGTTGACGAGTTTTCATATCAGTTGGTTGCAGTGTTTAACATTGCCGTCTACGCCGTCTTCAGTTCCTTCTCCCGGCGCGCTGTCCTTTCCATGTGCCTATTATCAGTATTGTTGTTTCTGTTGCTCTTCTCTTCTTTTGCTGTCGCTGTTGGCTGGGGCGTCGGTTCTCTGGGCTCGATGGCCGAATGCCCCTCGTGGGGCCATCGAGTCTCTGGGCCTGTTTCGGTTCGACGTTACACCAGTGTTAGAATGTTTTTTTTGTTGCGTTTGAAATTCTGATAGGGAGAACGACGGCGCAATCGAAAAAAATGGAGCGATGACAGCAGGGAAACCACGGAACAGCTTTCGACCAAAACGCCAAACAACACGTTATATATGTGCTTTTGTTTTTAAGATATATGTATGTATGTATAGATAGATATGTCTATAATGCTGATCCACAGCGACGGGCCCAACTATTCAAAACCTCCGAACAACAAACACTTCAACACCGTCACGTTTGTTAGGCTTTGCGTTTTTGGCTTGTCAAGAATCCGACGTGCAAAACGGTAGCAAGAAAACGCCCAGGGCGCTTTCAAAAAGAAAAGGGGGAGGGACCCAGGGTCCAGGACTCGTTCCCCTCAGGGCCCGTTTGTTGCATATAAAAGCGAGGGTTGGGACAGAGAAGGGAAATTAGATGCGATCAAAATGGGTACAGAAAGAGTGGGGACGAAGACCGACACCAGTTCGTGTCCATTGCAGAATTGTCGATTGTCGCTGTCGCCGTGGACGTTGTCCACGCAGGGCAAATGACGCCTGCCCCACAGCGGCCGCTGTCGGTTTTGGAGCACCTGTGCTGTTGGACATCGTGCCATGGTGTTCCGTACCCATTTCGGGCTTTCCACAGAAGGGGTCATCGAGGGTACCCGCGGTTCGGTCGACCCCGTTGCGCCGCAGCCGGTTGTGATCCGGCGATTCGGTTCGGCACATTGTTGTGCTGTTGCCGCGCCGCTGCGCCCGTTCGGGCTGCTTGTGGCTTGTTGGCCTGCGTCGGTTTCTCCCTCCCCCGCCTTTCCTCCCTCCCTTTCCCTTTCTCGCCACAGGGCTTCTTCGCGCTTGTAAAACAAGTGTCGGGTTCGGTTTCACTGTCGGTCTGGTTTTCGGTTGTGCTGTCGCCATGGACGGCCGCGGCCTTGGAGGCGGGAGGGGCACTTCGCTGCTTTCGGGCGCCCAGGCCTGGGGTGAGGACTGTGCGTGTGTGTGTGTGTGTGTTTGTGTGTGTGTTTGTGTGTGTGTGTGCGCGTGTGTGTGTGTGTGTGTGTGTGTGTGTGTGTGCGTGCGTGCGTGCGTGCGTGCGTGCGGTGTGTGTGTGTGTGTGTGTGTGTGTGTGTGTGTGTGTGTGTGTGTGCGTGTGGATCTTTGCCATGGGCGGGGCCATGGCATCATCAGATTTCATGGTCCTTTCTTCTTCTTTCAATGCCTTCCCTGCTGCCCCCTCGTCCGCGCACATGCCTCGGGCCATGGTGCGCTAACTCCCCTCCTGCTGGGCCCCGCCCCCTTCGTCGCCCCCGACACAGACCCCCCTTGCTTTCGTGCCAAGACCTGTCGACCAGCGGGGAAGGAGGGGAGAGAAGGCTGCTTTTTGACCATCACTTCCGACCTCCGCCTCCTGACAGCCTAAGCTTCGGGCCCGAGGCGGAGGGGGAAGAGGTGCGCGCGGACAATCTGCTGGAGGCTGTGGCAGTGCCTCTCTCGGGATGGCCCTCCGCGAGCTTTCTTGTGGAGCGGGGCGGCTCGGAAGGCCCCCCCCTGCTTCTGGGATTTTCCCGCCGCCAGCTCCCGCGCGGACGGGGCTGCCCGCTCCAGCCCCGAGAGGGCGCTCGTGGACACTCCTGCAGGAGAAGTTTGCTTTGGGAGAGCGCCCGCTCTCCGTCCGAACGGTTGCCGGAATGTCTGTCCGAGCTTCAGCATTTTAGAGTTGTGCTGCAGTTTCGGGCGAAGCGTTGGGCCCGCTCTGCCGACGCGTCTGGTGATGCGATGGTTCTTGGAAAAGAGCAACTTCGTATACTTACGGGACCACGGGTAGAGGAGGAGGAGGAGGAGGAGGAGGAGGAGGAGGAGGAGGAGGAGGAGAGGAGGAGGAGGAGGAGGAGAGGGAGGAGGAGGAGGAGGAGGAGAGGAGGAGGAGGAGGAGAGGAGGGAGGAGGAGGAGGAGGAGGAGGAGGAGGAGGAGGAGGAGGAGGAGGAGGAGGAGGGGGAGGGAGGAGGAGGAGGAGGAGGGAGGAGGAGGAGGCGGCGGAGGAGGAGGAGGAGGATATGGAGGAGGAGGAGGAGGAGGAGGAGGACGACGACGACGACGTTAAGGTGGGAAGTCTTGCTGGGATCTTGTCTCAGCGAGAGGTCCTCGGAGGCGCGACCAGGGCGCCCCAAAGAACGCCTCCCCTTGGGCCCTCGAGGGCAGCACTAGGCACGGCGAGAACTCAAGCAGTGGCGAAGCGTCCTGGCTCGCCCAAAGGCCCACTGAAGAGCTTTCTACGATTTTTTGCGGTTTGCACGACTTGTTCTTAGACCATATTTGGCTGAGACTGGCTTCTTGTGACACCTCGGGCTTATGTTCTAAGAACACTGCTAAAACATGTCTGGGCTCTGGGAACACCCCGTGGTGGGCCCGTGGGAATGCCGGGCCGGCCGGCCCCCAGCCCCAAGAGCTCGAGATCCTGAGATTCGCCCCGGTGGGATTTTCTGCAGCCTGTGAGTGACCCCCGGGGTCCTCACCGCTTCCCCGGGGACCGTTCTGCGCGGCGGGCGCATCTGCCTGCTGGCCCCCGCGGTGCCCGACAGCGGGCCCCGGAGCAGGGCTGGGCCTGAACGTTGCGCTGCGGGGCCTCGGCTGTGTTTTGTCCTTCGTTCCGGCAGGGGGGTGCAGGAAAGCAGGCAGGTTGGGGGCGGAAAAGAGGGGGTGATGATTAGGGGGGGTGGATATCATGGCGTGGGCCATGATACTTCCCCAGGTTTCATGGCACTTCTTCTTGTTTTATTACGTCCCTGGCCCCCAAGCTGGGCCGCGCACATGCCGCTGGTCATGATTTGCACCCCCCCCTCTTGGACACCCCCCTCTTGGCCGCTCCCGAGCAGGGCAAGACGAACAGCAGATCGAAGACAGGACGAACAGCATTGTTTAGGTCCAGCCCTGCCCTGGAGGCCGACGCAGAGGAAGGGCCCAGGGCGGAACATAGGGGAACAAAGAGTGACATAAACATAAAAACTCGGAGATCCGCGCCGATTTCTCGGATCCGAGAAATCTGCGCGGACCTCCGAGTTTTTATGTTTATGTCATTCTTTGTTCCCCTAATATCCTCGGAGAGCCGGGTCGGGGGCCCCGCGAGGCATCGGGGAGACGCAGGCCGAGCGGGTCGCCACGCTGGCCGCCATCGCCGAGGCGCACGCCCTCCACGGCCACGTGCAGGAGGTCATCCGAGGGGCCGCGAGGTCCACGCGGGCTCCCGTCCCTGGGCCCCCCCCTCCTCCTCCTGCGGGTCCGCGCCACAGGATCACTCGGGGGCGGCAACGAGGGGGGTGATGACTATGGGAGGGGTGGATATCATGGCGGGGGCCATGATATCTCCCCAGATTTCATGGCGCCTCTTCTCATTTCATTGCGTCCCTGCCCCCCCCCGCTGGGCCGCGCATCTGCCGCCGGTCATGATTTGCACCCCCCCCTCTTGGACACCCCCCTCTTTGCCGCTCCCGATCCTGCGGGTCGGCGCCACAGGATCACGGCGCCCGGGGTGCGGGAAGAGGGGTCACCACCAGGGGGGGGGGGCGCCAGGGTTCGTCTCAAGTCGGGCCTGTCCCTCGACAGGAAAAATACTTTCAAAGATAGTCAAAAAAATAGTCGGGGGACGATTTCTCCACCATTTTAGATGATGTTTTGGATATTGTTTGGTTTTTTCCGTCCAGAGCCCGCCTGTAGGGGGACACGCCCGACCGAAGGTTCGTCCTGGAAGTCGAGGCTCCAGGGTCCCCGAGGTCGGGGTGTTGCAGTCGTCTCGCGCCGGGCAGGCGGCCTGGCTCGGCCCCCGGGGCCAGCAGGTCGCTCCGGCTTGCGAAGGGCCGCAGGGAGATGGCGTCTACGGCCCCAGTCGTGTTTCTCGTGCTGCCGCGATGGTGCAGTGGTCGTCGCAGCGTCGGGGCTGGGGCTGCTCGGCCTGTGAGTCCGGCCGTGTGTGTGTGTGTGTGCTTCTGGCTCCCAATCGGAGGAGTGTGCGGCGCGCGTGCGCGGCACGAGCCGGGCTGCTGTGCTCTGCTTTTCTTCGGAGGCGGTCCGAGGGGGCAGGACGGGAGAGGCGCTCCGCTTTCCCGAGAGGGCGCGGAGGTGGGTGGGAGGGCTTTCTGAGAGGCCCTCCTGCGTTTCGATGCGTCTGCTCGTCCTCTTCCCTCCTCCTCTCTCCTCCTCTCTCCTCTCTGTCTCCTCGTCCTTCTCTTCCTCTCCCTTCTGGGAGAACACCCGATCGTTCCTTCTCTTCCTCCCTCTTCCTCCTCCTCCTCCTCATCCTCCTCCTCCTCGCCCGTCCTGGGGAACTCCTTCTCGTCATCTTTCTCCTTCTTCATCCTGCATCCTCCCCCACCTGATCCTCCTCCTCTTCTTCCTCCTCCTTCTCGGAGAGCAAATATAGACGCTTTGCGTAATCCCAGGCGGGTTGCTCCGATCAGGCATGTGGGGGAGCATTCAGTGGAATACAGGCTGGGAAGCCTTCATGCCCCAAGAGGGGGAGGATGGAGGAGGAACCAGAGGAGGAGAACGAGGAGGAGGAGGAGGTGGAGGAGCATAAGGAACATAAGGAGCAGGAGGAGGAGGAGCTGTGTAAACTCAAGACTCATTAACGACATTGGAATCAATCCTCCCCCAAGTTCCCTCTGCATAGGCCTCTGCAAGGGTTCATCTCGATTAAGGAAACTGCACCATTGGGAGACAACCGTTTGAAGACCCTGGAGGAGCATGCCAAAACACCATTCTCGGGACTCCAACGCCACGAATCAACCTGACTGTTGCGTCTGGACGCTTTTGAATCGTGCCAGAACACCATTCCTGGAACATCAGCACCGCGAATCACTGTAACTGTTGCGCCCTTGCAATCTTGACTCCTTGCGAAGTACATTGTCTGGTACGTTAACCATGGGAACCATGTTTCTTTTCTCCAAATATTCAAAACGAGTGCGCGCAGCGTTATGACAAGAGCCACATTTTGACAAGGAGCCGCCCTCAATCCACTAAATTCTTGCACATGTCTACAACGAATGCGCGCGGCGCTGAGGCAAGAGCCACAGTTTGAAGACGACTTGCCCTCAATCCGTGAAGCTCTTCTTCTTGCACGTATCCATAACGAGTGTTGGCGGTTCTAAGGCGAGGGCCGCATGATGAAAACGACACACCCTCAATCCGTGAAGCTCTTGCGAATGTTTATGACGAATGTGCGCGGCGCCAATGCGAGAGCACCATTCTGAAAACAACCCGCCTTCAACATGTGAAACTCGTGCGAATTTGTATAACGAATGTTGCGTCGCTAAGGCGAGAGCCACATTTTGAAAACATCCGCCCTCAATATGTGCAGCTGTAACCGACGTTTAAGCTTCAGGGTCGTAAGCGGTGAGGAAGACTCAGGCGAAACGCCCTGCCCGCCCTGTCGACCGGCCTCGGGGTGCGACAGGGAAGAGTTATTCAGAATGGAGGAGCATGAGGAGGAGGAGGAGGAAGAGGAGGAGGAGGCGGGGGAGGAGGAGGAGTAGGACGAGGATGAGGAGGAGGAGGGGGCAGGGAGGAGGGACAAGGGAAGAGCGAGGAGGATGATGAATGTCCCAAACCTGTGGATGATGAAGATGAAGAGGAGGAGGAGGGCGAACAGAAAGGGCAGAAGCCTCTTGGATACTTTGCGGAGTCTCTTCGGGTGTCTTTTGAGAGTTTGTTGTATGCTTGCTATGGCGGCGTCTGCGGGGCCTCGTGGCGGTCCCGGGCTCCTCTTGAAGCGCTTTGGGTGCCTCGGCCGAGCTTCTTCGGGCCTCTTGGGGATCCCTTGGGAGCCGCTTGGGGGCATCTTGTGAGCATCTTTGGGACCTTTTTGGGCCTCCTGGGCGCCTCTGGGGCACTTTTCGGAGCCCGGGGGGCCATAATGGGGTCATCGTGGAGGTGACCGATCAAAGAAGAGGGGAGGTCCAATTAGCGCCTCTCCCCAGGAGGCCAAAATTGGCCCAACGCCTTCGTAAAATCATTTTGGCCTTCTCGCCGAAGCGATTTTGGACGCTCTGACCTCTCGCGGCCCCCCCGGTCCTCCTCGTCTGCAAGTTATTTCGCTCACGCCGACGGCCCTCCCAGCACATAAGTAGCACCAGGGCATCAGCATGCTCAGCGGTCGTCTATGGATGGGCAGCTACCGGGAACCAAAACAGAACCCACGTGCGAGATCGGGCGAGGTTCGCCACGCGTGCCACTCGCTCCAGGTGCGCCAGGCACCCCTGGGGCCCAAGCGTGCCAGGCACGCCTCGCCCGCCAGATATGCCACGTGCTCCAAGTGTGCTGCACTGTCCAGCCGCGCCAAGTGTGCCACGTCCGGGGCACGCGCAGACTGTGCCAGGGGCGCCCGCCAGCAGCACAGTGATCGCGGGGTGGCCGCAGGTTTAAACTGTAGCCGCGAAGTGCCTGTTGTATTGTTTTCGACAGGGATAATGGGAGAGAGAAAGGAAGAGCGCGCTGCCATCGGATCCAGGGATCCAGCCCTGAACAAGGCGGCGCGGCGGGACTTCGGCCCTCAGATCAAGCAGTATGTGTCCACGGCCTCTGACCATCGTTTTCGCTGTCCTCCCTGACGGCGCCGGTGATGCGGTTGAGAAGGTGTCCGCTTGCAGAACCCAGTTTGCCCACGAGTTTTCGGGCCCTGTGAACGAGATTGCCACTTGCGAGCCGAAGATCTGCGCGCAGTAGTCCAATCGCAAATGTGAAAACGTTGCAGGCGCTGCTCTGCGTTGCGGGTCGCCCGCCTCGCCCAGTCGGTCCAAGATTCCAAGCCAATTCGAGAGTTGCAACTGCTCGAGGAGCTCTTGGTTGCGGCGGTCTCGCTGGATGAGGTCTGGTCCTCGTCCGCATTCAGACGAGCATTCGGAGCATCATTCGCTGGGTTCGCCGCGCTTTGTCCTCCAGAGGCTCGGTCAAGACCCATGCCTCACAGCCGTACATCATGGTCGAATATACTGTGCTCGCAGAGAGCCGAGGACGGCAACCGATGGAGTATTGATCGCTTGTCAGCTCAGTCCGGTGAATATTTACTCATTTCCACGTCGTTGAAATTCAGTGGTCGATCTCCGTCTCGTGCGCGTTGCTGAACGACATCTGTCGTCCCATATTTTTCCACGCATCCGAAGGTGGAACGATCTCGATGTTCATGCCGTCGACCTTCGCTGCAGCTGCTTTGGATCACCCCTCAGCACATCGTAGCGTTGCTCAAGATCTTCGTCTTGTCTGGGTGGAGCTCCAGACCTCTTTCTCGAGCTGCGACGCAGCTGTCTTGAAGCATGTTCCCGACCTGGTGTAAGGATGTGCCAATCACCAGACATCTTCGGCGAATCGTGAATTAATGATCCAACGATCCTGTCCAACATTGAGCCCCCATCCCTGACGTTTCCATTTAGCTGTAATTCCGCGCATGGCATCCTCCAAGAGAGCGTTGAACAGCAGAGAGCTGAAAGGGTCGCCTTGTTTAGTGCCATGCTGAACTGGGAACTGCTTGATCATTCTGTCGGTGCGCATTATTGCAGTCTGTCCAGCATACAAGTTTTGCGCAAGTACCCGTCCAGCACAACTTATCGTTGCAATGCTGACCATAAGCTGTCCTGCTCGATGGAGTCGAAGGCTTTGCGGAAACATAAGGCGGGTATCCATAGCTGCTGTTGGAATTCATAGCATTTCTCCTGCAACAGCGTCACTGAATAGACGGTACGCCGTTGTGAAATTGCTCCAGAACCCAGCTTGATCTTCACATTGATGCTCATCCAGTATTGTGATATATAGTGTGTGTATGACACGCTCGTACGCCACTCGCTGCCGCTTGGCTCTTAGGGACCCCTTTTGCCTTGGCTTGAAAACGTATCATCAATCACACTGGCAGCGGAGCTGCTACACGATCTTCGGCATCGTACCGCTGCGCAGGGCTCGTCCTCTCGCGAGGAGAGCTCCTCACCTTTTCTTTGCACTGGGCATCCACCCTTACGAGGGGATTGCTTCCTTGCCGCCATGGCGCTGTCTTCCCTTCGCTATCGGTTCAACGCCGACGCGTTGACTCAGTCGGAGACGAAGGGTGGCTCCTACATCTATGATGGCACCGTGAACAACTTTCACGAATGGGAGTTCCGCACAGAGATGCGTATGAGTGCTGCTTTGTCTGCTGTAGATGCAGAGACAGGAGGAGAACCCCAGGCACATGTTGTCACCGC